GGGCCTCTAGGCACATATGGGGGGCTGCCTTCAGGAAGCAAAGACAGATGGCAAGAGCACCCCCTTTTCTCAGGCTAGTTTTCCATCACAACCTCCACAGTAAGCAGGGGCCCTGGAGAGGACTGCTCCAGGGTGAATCACAACCTCCACAGTAAGCAGGGGCCCTGGAGAGGACTGCTCCAGGGTGAATCTCTGATGTCCTAGTAGCACCAGCCACAAGAAGGCTGGCTGGGTCAGGAGAGAAAGCACAGTGAACTCTGGGGGCCAGAGGTGTCCTGTCCCCTGAAACTTGGCCCGAGGCTCACTCCTTCCAGCTAGAGGTTTGTTTGCAGGGGGACGGGACAAGATTTATCCTAGGAAACAAATAAAAAGAATTTCTGATCTACAGATTCAATGAAATTCTAATATGAATGCCGGCAAGTTTTTTTTTCCTTAGTAGACATTAATAGGCAGGTTGGCTTTTGCTTGTTTGTTTTTATTTTTCCTCTTTGGAACAGGGATTCTCTGTAACTTTAGAGTCTGTCCTGGAACTCTGTAGATCAGGCTGGCCTGGAACTCACAGAGATCTGCCTGTCTCTGCCTCCCAAGTACTGGGATTAAAAGCATGTGCCACCACTGCCCAGCTACAAGCCGGTTGTTAAAGGGGGCCGGAGCAGAGAGAGTTTGGAGACAGTCTCATACTGTAGCTCAGGGTGGTCTCAAACTCACAAAATCCTCCTGCCTCAACCTTGCAAGTGCTAGGATGCAAGGTGTGGGCCACCTTGCATCCAGCTTGACTGTTAAATCTATAAGGAAAGAAAGGACTAGAACAACCAAAGCAATCCTGGAAAAGTCTTATGGGGTGACTGGGCAGCCACCTGAGCTAGGAGTCCACCCTGGACAAGCCATGAGAAGCAGACTGGCTGGGGAGGCGGGACAGGGGCCCTAGGGTGCCCTCCCCAGTGCTCCTCAGCTGCATACCTCAGGCCTTGCAATGTTTCTGGTTGGGCAGCTGAGTCTGTGAAATGAGGCCACGCAGCTTCCTTCCAGGACTATCTAATACCAAGTGAGTAAGGTTCTGCCGTCTCCTACTCCTTCCTCTAGGTCACACATGCTCATTTCTGCTCCCATGCATCCACCTTGCTTCCCCAGCTACTGTCCTACTGTAACGTTAGCACGTGTTCTCTAAGAGTTACCTAGGCGGGTTCAAGCCGTGTTTGTCGGCAGCCCTGTTGGCAGGGAGGGCCTCCAAGTGTCTTCCTGGTCTCAGAGCCCCAGCTGGCTGGGTGCTACATTAGTTCCCCATCAGGCAAGCAAGTTTTCTTCCATTCCCGATTGTTTAGACGAAGATACTGAAGCTTAGTGAGGCATTATGACTCACCCTTTTGCAGGTCCTGACCCCTAATCTGGATGCAACTTTCAAGCCCCAGGCCACTCTACCTGCTTGGGTCCTACTCTTTCAGGGTCCATTGCTGGAACTTTTTTAAATGCATGATGACCTAGAAATCAACTGAATGGCCACTGGTCAAGTGTCTGTGCAGTGTCAAGGCAACCAGACCTCTGCAAGCAGTGCCAAGTGACCTGCAGGGCACTGGGCAAGTGGATCCCGCTCTCTGCAGGGCACTGGGCAGGTGGATCCCGCTCTCTGCAGGGCACTGGGCAGGTGGATCTCGCTCTCTGCAGGGCACTGGGCAGGTGGATCTTGCTCTCCGCCAGCACACAGGTGCGTATGGACAGCAGGTCCCTGGGGTCATCTGGGGGTTAGAGTTCAGAGCTGGGTGGCAGTGTGTGATGGAATGGCTGAGGAGGAGTCCCAGGTGAGGGCAAAAGAGAAGTGAGGAAGAAAGGGGAGAAGGAGACGGCCTTTTCCTCACCACAAGAGTCTGGGCCACGAGGCGCCAGGCACAGCTCAGTCTTGCCCATCTCTGGATTCTGTTAAGTCCCTCAGTTTCATTCCTGGGTGGACTGCGACTGACTGTGCAAACCTGGGGCATGAGTAAAAGGTTCTAGGAGTTGAAGAGCCAGGGGTTACATCACCCACCCTTTTACCCTGCAGGTTCAGGGCTCTGGGCCCAACTACCTAAATTCTGCCCTGGGAATTCCATGCCTAACTCGAGGCATAGTCTCCACAAAGCTTTGTCCTGCCCCTCAGCTGAAGAATGCTAAGCAGACACTGCTCCCTCAGGTCACTCAGGGTTGCTGTCCCCCAGGCTTGCCCTCTGACCTACCTAAACAGAAGCAGACTGTTGTTCTCACCTCCAAGGGCCCCAAGAAGCCAACTGTGCTCACTGGTGACCAGCCTCAGAGGTTATCCCTCCAGTGAAGCTGAGGGTCACTCTTTCTTCCCAAGGGGACTATGGCTATCTGGGTCTGCTGGAATCCATAGGCATCTGGCAGGAATCCCTTTCTGTCTTGGGTACCTGCCCTCTGCTTCATTCTGCCCTTCCTGGAGAGCTCAGGCCTGGAACACTGTAGTCTAGGGTCCAGTCCAAGGGTCTGGCTCCTGGTACTCTGGCTGAGACTCAGGCTTGCCTTCCTGGACCAAGCCCTGTGCTCTGAAGGCATTCGTCACAAGAGCCTGCTTTTCTCTGAGAGCCGCAAAGGCAAGTACAATTCCTTGCTAACTGCCCCCCATTCCCAAGCCAGACAAGCTTGCATGGTACTCATGGCTTCCAGAGAGCAGAGTCGAGAGAAAAGCAGAACTTAAGTCACATTTTGCTGTATTGTGGGATGGGTTTGCCCTTTCCCTTTAAAATAAAACCACACATTACAGACGGTTAAAGCCATCTCGGCCCCAGTTTCTTTGCCTCTTCATCAGTGTTAATCTGCAACTGTCTCTCCCTCCGTGTTCACTGTTTTCACGGTACCTAGCAGCTTATCAACCCTTCCTCTTGTAAACAACCTGTGTCCCTTTAGAGACTGCCACCACCTAGCGCTGCCTCCCAGGAGTGGCACCCACACAGCACAGAGCAGATTCGCTGTGAAGTTGGTACGGACTGGGTAGCATGCATGTATCACTTCTAAAGCTGGCTCTCAATCCTGAACTTGCCCCTTCTTTGCAGCAGCGCCGTCTCCCGTGCTCTAACAGCTCAGTCTCTTGCTAACTGACATGCCCACCATTCACCAGTAACCCTTCTTTCTCAGCAGGGAAGAAGATGAAAAGAGACCATCTAGTGCATCACAAACGGCCCAGAAGAGACTCAAGGCTCCAGCTGGCAACTGAGAACCCATGAACAAGCCAGAAAACCTTCTGGCTTCTAAGTACAAGGGAGACCATGTAGGCACCCACCCCCAAATCATACAAGTCTGGGGGCACATGGCAAAGAGACCCCGGGGTGCTAGGGGCTCCCAAAACCACATAGCTCAGTACAGAGCTGACTCTACCAGCACAAGGCCTCTTAGAACAGAGAGTTGTTGCCACGTTCTGAACCCAAGAGAGATGGCAAGAACTTTGAAGGGCAAAATATAAGGGTTTCCTGGCTGCTGCTGGAGATGAAGAAGACAGAGGTGAGGGCCTGCTCTTTGAGAATTCCTTTACCCTTACCCCGGTGATGCTGAGAAAGGAAGGCCTGCTCCAGTACGACAGCCCAGCTTCCTCTGGGGAGCTCTGCCTCCCCCACAGGGCTGTCCTACCTTCTACACCAAGGCCTGCCCTCCAAGCAGCAGTACCTGTGCATGAGGGAAGCTGTCCAGGGCAGAGGAGATTAAAGACGTCTGTCTCTAAAGACACCAAGTCTACCTGCAGCCACATCCCAGCTGAGGCCTGAGCAGGACAGGTGAGTGTGACTCGTGGGATGTTAGTCTGTGCTGTCATGACATCAGCTGCACAGCTCTCCCTTGCTCTATGTGTTGGCCCACAGATTTCTCAGCATCTTTTTGAAACAAAACAACACGGAGAACTCTGTGGAAGGCACTTCCAAGTTATGAGGGAAGACCTCATGCCTGCCACCCTGAGAAACGGCTAGCCGAGCCCCTCCCAAGTGTTGAGTACAGCCAACTTAAACCAACTCAGACAGACAACAGTATTTCACAAAGCAAGATGAATGTTCTCACTATACGGGTGTGTGTGTGTGTGTGTGCGTGTGTGTGTGTGTGTGCGTGTGCGTGTGCGTGCGTGTGTGTGTGTGTGAGTGTGTGTGAGTGTGGTGTGTGTGAGCGTGTGTGTGAGTGTGTGTGTGAGTGTGTGTGTGAGTGTGTGCGTGCGTGCGTGTGTGTGTGTGCGCGCGCGCGCAAAAACAGAAGGAAGAAATGGCCTCTGAGCCAAGCTCCACATGTAAGCTGAGTGTCAAAAGGGATTCCAAGCTGGGAATGGTGGTGCACATAGCACCTGGAGGTGAAAGCAGAAGAATCAGGAGTTCAGGACCTGCCTTGGCTACATAGTTGAAGCCAGCCTGGACTACAGGAATCCCTGTGTCAACAAAGAAAGAAACAAACAAGGATGACTCCAGGCTGAGAAGACAGGTATGAGTAGATACCAGATCACGTGGCTCAGACAGAGCTTCACACAGGTAAGGAAGTAGAACACACAAAGGGTCCATGACAACACTAAAAGATGTAATATATGGTTAGAATATAATACAAGCTAAGAGCTAGACCAGTATTTCTCAACCCGTGGGTCGCGGCCCCTTTGGGGTTGAATGACTCTTTATGGGGGTCACCTAAGATCATCAGCAAGCACAGATACTTGTATCATGATTCGTAACAGTAGCAAAATCATAGTTATGAAGTAACAACAGACATAACTTTATGGTTGGGGGTCCCCACAACATGAGGAACTGTATTAAAGGGTTGCAGCATTAGGAAGGTTGAGAACCACTGAACTAGACAGTAAAGAGGAAATCTCATAGAGGGACATATATAGGATATACAGGGACAGTCCTAACTAGTGAGTTCTTCTCCTCAGGTCTGAACAAGGCAGCCACGTGAGCACGTCCAGGCCTGGATGCAGCACTGGGGAAACGCTGGGAAGGCAGGGCAGCTGCAGGGCAGTGTGGCATGGCCAGAGCCCACATAGACACTACCTGTGCTTCCCATCTTCCTCTTCCTCTTCTCTGAGCTGCTTGGTCTGTGGCTCCCCCTCTTCCCTGTCCTGTAAAGAAAGAAAGAAGACTACTTAGTGAGCACTCCTACTGTGGTCCAGGTCACCTGGGGAACTGGTGAGGACAGGACCGTCAGGGCCAAGTAACTGAGGGTGCAGTGCAGGAGCCTTGCTCTTCCCTGTCCCTTCCTGGGCAGAACTTAAAACTCCACAACCCTCCCAGCACTTGGGAGCCAGAGGCAGGCGGATCTCTGTGAGTTCAAGGCCAGCCTGGTCTACATAGGAGGTCTAGGACAGTCAGGGCTACAGAGAGACCTTGCCTCAAAATTAAAACCAACAATAAAAATCTTTCCATGATCCCAGCCCAGGCTTGACACAAGGTTGTTCTTGACGACAAGCAGGAAGATCTGGAAGTCTTAGGTGGCAAGAAAGGCCACTAGCCACCTTCATGGATATGGACAAAAGCATGTGTTGGGCTGGAGGGAGATGGGGGAGAGGCTGTCACCAACAACTAGAGCAGGATGAGAACGCAGGTCTCTTGGCATTCTTTCTAGCCCAGAGACCTCTCAAGAAAGACCCATTTGGATCCCTTCACAAGCGACCTAACTTGGACCAGGCTTGGAACAAAACTCACTGCCCAGGTCTGTGATGTACTAAAGGAGATGGGGCAAAAAGAGATCATTTAACCAGTCTGTGGAAAAGCTCTCTTCTACGTGCGTACGTGCTTGCGTGCGTGCGTGCGTGCGTGTGTGTGTGTGTGTGTGTGTGTTACGCATACATGCCATAGAGCACATGGAGGTCAGAGGACAACTTCTTCTTCTTTTTTTGGTTTTTCGAGACAGGGTTTCTCTGTATTGTTTTGAAGGCTGTCCTGGAACTTGCTCTGTAGTCCAGGCTGGCCTCGAACTCACAGAGATCCACCTGCCTCTGCCTCCCGAGTGCTGGAAGAGGACAACTTCTAAGAGTCTGAAGAGGTTAGAACAATTTTCAGGAATTGGTTCTCTTCCTCTACCATGTGGGCTCCAGGGACTGAACTGGGGTTGCCAGGCTTGGTGGCAAGCACCTTGACCCACTGAGCCATCTTATTGGCCCACAAATCTGCCTGCTCCCCCATTTATGTATGACAGGTTATCTCCAAGTGCCTTGAGGATCACGACTTAAGGGCACCACCAGGGCCGCCTCTGCCTACCACAGAAGAAGTGTCCTGGGTCCCCTACTTCCTAGCATCACTGTGGTTAGACTAGCTGCCCTGTGGATGAACTGACCACAGGTGTATGTACACATGGACAGAATCAAATGTTTGGAGTCATGCCACAGGCCCAAGGCTTGAACCAAGGCCCAGGAGGAAGCCCCTTGCACACCAAGACTAGCCATCTAGATGTCAAATTCACTTTGTTACTGGTAATGAACTCTGCTGGAGTGGTGTTCTGAGAAGGATCCTGGAAGCTTCTACTTGCAACCTGTTATGGCTAAGAATATGCTGGAGCTGACATTAGATTTAAGTAGCTGCCTACAATTCCTCTCCTAGAAAATCCTGTACACCACCGACCACTGTCTCCCTATGGGGTGACATCTGCTTCATGTTATTGTCTACCAGTGCTCACCCTGGAGATCCAGGGCAATGACAGACACTGCCATTCCTTGGCCATATGGGGCCTAGCTCATTGAAAGCCTTCCATAATAGAACATATCAAGATACCTTCTGTCCTCAACCCAAGCATCTAGGTCTCATGGGGATGAAACAGTAGGAATGAAATTAGACATGATTTTGGGGGGTTAAGAATGGGAGAATCTGGGTTTCCTAGGACAGAGAGATGGGATGGGAAAGGCACCCCCAGAGATACCTTAAGCAAAGGTAGTGTGTGGTCTAGACAGAGGTTCAGGCTTGAGAAACAAGTTAGCATTCCCTGAATGGATCACAGGATAGGATGCGGCTCAAGAAACTGAGCTAACTAAAGGCTTGCCCACAAAGCTAAAAGAGGTGTAGATATTCTTTTTTTTTTTGTTTTTGAGACAAGGTCTCACTATGTAGCCTTGGCTGTCCTGGAACTCGCTATGTAGACCAGGCTGACCTCAGACTCATCAAGATCCACCTGCTTCAGTGATCTGCGTGCTAGGACCAGAGGTGTGCAGATATTCTAATAAAGAGCTCCCTACCAACGCAAATCCCAGAAATGCTTGCTTCCACCAGGGAAGGTGCTGGTAAACTGCTCCCTGGGATGGAGGTGGTAGAGCAGAGAGCTCAGTCTACCCCGCCCCCCTCCACAGCTTCTTTCTGGAAGGGTTCCATGCAGCTGACAGAAGAAGGTACGATCTGTGTAGGAAGGACCCCCCCCCCATCTCTGGGAGGAGTGCTTTGCCCACACCGCGCCCCTTCCTAACCAAGGGCAAGGTTAAACTCAGCCAGAGCCAGCTGCCGCTGCCACCTCCAAGAGCCCCAGAAACACTCAAGTGCTTGGCAAGGGCCAAGTTACTCATTAACAAGAGAGAAAACAGCCACATACCCAAGTGACATTTTAAAACCCCCTAGTGTCAGATGAGCTCAGAACTGGTGGTGACACAGGAGTGCCCATCTTATGTTCTCAGTTCAACACGGTGGGGATGGGGGAGATGGGGACAATGACAGATAATTCAGAAATGGTCTTCAGAGAAAAGAAAAATGAGAAGAGATGTCCAAGGTCACAGAACCGGTCCATGATGGTAAAAAATCTGGATCATGGCCCTCCAGGCCTGGTCCAACGTTCCTGCCAAGACAAGAGGCACAGCCTGTCAAGAGCAGTGCTGAGTTCCTGAAAATGACTCTGACCTCAGCCACCTTTCCTGTCTCCCCACATAGTTCAGACCGGCACAGCCACGTGCACAGATCCAGCCACAGCCAGCCACAGTCAGCCCAAAGCACCAGTGGACACCCAGCAAGACAGGAGGCCTAGGGGGTCTCACATCCAGACATACTATGAGACTCCCTAAACCGAGCTCAGTGTCCTAACCCTCAGCCCCATACTCGTCCCAATTTTGTCTGCCTTTCCCCTCCTTCCCAAGCCCCATCTTCCATTGTTTTTTTTTCCTTTAAATTTATGAGTTTTTGCTTGCATGTATGTCTGTGCACACATGTGTGCCTAGCACCACAGAGGTCGGAAGAGGGAGTCACGCCCCCTAGAACTGGAATTATGGATGGTTGTGAACAGCCATGTGGGATCCAGGAAATAAACCCGGGTCTCTGCATGAGTGAGTGCTCTTAACTGCTGAGGCATCTTTCTAGCCAGCCCCACCCCACATGTGTAAGAGTTGTTCACATGCGTGTCTGTATAACGCATATGTGCCCGATGCCCACAGGAGCAAAAGAGGGCACTGAATCCCTAGAACTGGAGTTCAGACAGTTGTAAGCAGCCATGTGGGTCCTGGCAATCAGGCCCTGAGCTTCTGGAAGAGCAGCAAGTGCTCTTAACCAGCGAGTCATCTCTTCGGCCCTCCTATTCTCCACTCTTGTTCCCTCTCAGGTCCTTACAGCCAAGTCTCAGTCATTCCCTTCCACCCTCACCAGCCAAACAACTCTCTCCTTTAGAATCCATATGGGGTCACAAAACTGAACGTGGAAATCATGACAAATTTAGCAAAACAGACAATAACTGAGAAGTAATTAAACACACCATGAATTCACAGGGTCTCTGGCAGTGCTCACGTGTGCTGCGTGGAGGGACTTCACCATGGCCTGAGTTCTGAGCACACAGTATGTACACTTTGTCCTGTTCATGCCATTGTCACAAGGGCCAATGGTGTCGGGAACACCACTGATGTCTACCCTAGGTTATGAATACCCTAGTATTTCTATTCAAATATTTCTGGTTTTAGAACAACTTATTACGAGAATTTTTTAAATTTTTCTACCATTATTTATTATCATATGTCAAATTAGTATATTTTTGAATTAGACTGTTAGAATGGTTTGATTTTTTTAATGTTTTTTGTGTGTATATTTGCATATGTGTATGAGTGCACATGAATTTGTGTAGGCATATGGAAGCTAGAAGTAACCCTTGGGTATCATTGCTCAGGGGTCATCCACCTTGCGTTTTTGTTTTGTTTTAGTATTGATTTATTTAATGTGTAAATGTGTGCTCCGGTGTGTGTAGGTATACTATAACCCTGCACAAGTCAGAAGAAGACTTCAGATCCCCAGGAAATGGAGTTGCAGATGGCTGTGAGCTACCACATGGTAGCTAGGGATCAAACCGGGACCCTCTAGAAGAAGAGTAAGTGCTCTTAACTGCTGAGTCACTTTGGCAGCCTCTATCTTATTTTAATGAAACACGTCTCTCAGCAGCCTGGGACTTGGTGCCAAATATGCTAGGCTAGCTAGCCAGTGAGTCCAAGTAGCCAACTTGCCAGTTCTTCCTCAGCACTGAGATTCTAGACACACAAGAGCACGCCCGGCTTTTCAGTTTTATTTATCAGCACTAACTACATTTATGTATTATTGGGTGCATGCGTGTGTGGAAGAAACCTTTTGGGAATCTCTTTTTTCCTTTCATCACATGGGTCCCAGGAACTGAATTCACATCATCAGGCTTGGTGGCAACTCACTTTATCTATGGAGCCCTTCTGCTGGCCCAGGTCTGGCTTTTTACACAGGTGCTGGGGATCCAACTAAGGTGTCCATGGTTGTGCAACAAGCAATTTACTGCACAACCCCTCTCCCCAGCAGTCCTACTTCTCCATCACTAAACAAAACCAACCGTACAGCTCATCTAAATTACTGCACAACCCCTCTCCCCAGCAGTCCTACTTCTCCATCACTAAACAAAACCAACCATACAGCTCATCTAAATTACTGCACAACCCCTCTCCCCAGCAATCCTACTTCTCCATCACTAAACAAAACCAACCGTACAGCTCATCTAAATTACTGCACAACCCCTCTCCCCAGCAATCCTACTTCTCCATCACTAAACAAAACCAACCGTACAGTTCATCTAAATTACTGAATGTGCTGGCATAAAGTAGCTTATAACACCCCCCTCCTTTTTAGCGTCTGTGAGACCTGTGGTGATGTCTACCTGTCTGTCTCGGGGAGTGAGCAGCAACAAACGGTGTTGATATTTAGCTCGAGTGTAATCACGAGTGCTGGGATTACAGGCTTTCACCACCCTGGTCTGACTTCTTTTCTCTGTCAGACAGCAAGAGCTTTATTGAGCTTCGGGTATGCCTCTGCCTGAGCTCTTCACACCTGCTGTTTGACACCAGTTTGCTCGCCATCTCCTCTTCGTTCATTAGGGGCACACTCCTGCTCCATCCACTTTGCTATCCAATTGCAGAGCCGCTACCTCGGGTTCAATCCTCAACCACACACAGGAGAGAGGAAAAGAGGGGAGACTATATTTTTTCTTACTATTCCTGTCTCCAGATTATTAAGACAGAGTCCATCTCTGTACCCCAGTTCTTTGTGCATGCTGGGTCTGTCTTGGGCTCACAGATAAAGAAAAAGGGGTTAATCTTTGAGGGTCTCAGTATACTCAAGGGACAGACCTGGTGAGGAAGGCTTTGGTGGGGCTGGGCACAAGCGGTTGAAGAGAGCACTCCAGGGAGGGTAACTGCTTGGGACAACCATCATGACCTGTAGGGCAGACCCCACAGTGGCTCTGCTGGGACCTAAAGAGGTCAGGAGTGGGTGACAGGATCTTCCTGCAGCCCTGCCTACAATAACACTTGTGGGAAGAGGACAACCAGAGTCAGGAGAGCTCCACTCCCAGCCTGGACTTGCCCCAGCCAGCTGCTCCTTGTGATAGAGTTTAAAGGGTGGTTGAGGTTAAAGTGAGAGCCAGGACCCATGCTCAGGCCAAGTGCACCAGAGATGAAGGATCTGAGCTGAGTGGTCAAGAACGAAGCCTGGGGCTGGCTCTGCTTCCAGGAGGGAGTCAGGGTCACAGGTAAGGCTAGGAGGGAGACGTGCCAGCTGCTGATGGAATGTCTTGTCACCCTGACTCCATTTCTGAAGCAGTTGAAGACCAGCGAGAGCTCAGTCCACAGACAGACATGCCTCATCAAGCACTGCATTTCCAGGGTACCAGCCCTCTGTGTATCAAGCAGCAAAGACAAGGTCTTGGGCTAGCAAAACGGCTCAGTGGGTGAAGGTGCTTCTGGACTGATGTCCTCAGTTTGACCCTCGGCGGAAGGAGAGAACAAGCTCCTGCAACTTGTCCTCTGACCTCCTCATACATGTGGTGGCATGAACACACCAACCCCCAACCCCATCCCATAATAAATAAGTAAATAAATAAAAAATTTTTTTGGTTTTTCAAGAGAGGGTTTCTCTGTATTGTTTAAGGATATAAAAAACAAGGCCTCAAAATCTTTCCCCTCCCCATGAAGACAAACACCCCAAACACTATAGCCCCCTAAGAGGAGATCTTGAGCCTCTGCAGTTCTAATTCAGGTCAGAGTAAGGAAACAGAGTGGCAGATGGTTGTGTAGTGCCCAACACAGGGGCAGGAAGAGGCCCACAATGCCAGGCAAACCTGGTAGGTCCCCCAACAGCACCCTGTTGCCTGTCCCCAGAGCCAGGGCCACCTCATAATGGGGTGGAGGGACTTCCTGTTGGGTGTGGTGGCCCTGAGAGCTGTGTTATAAGGTATTTAGTGGGGTAGGGCAGCCACTGGAGTCTGACTCACCCTGAAGATGGAATGATAAACCCTGAACTGAACACCACCATGCTTAGGACCAGAAACTGTAGGCTCTTTATTGCTCAGAGACTGGCGGGAGAGAACAGGGGTGATCACAACGGAGGTTCTGACTTCTCTAGGCAGACTGATTGCACTGAGCTGTTGTGTTCCACTTTGGGGTCCTCAGATGCTGCTTTCTGAGGGTCTACTTTGACACCCGCCTGTGAGCTCTTGGGAAGACACTTGTCTTACCAGTTTGTACCTACAGGCCTGACACCTGTGACTGGTGGAGCTCGTGTGCTCTAGCTTACAGCCCAGTGGAAAAACAGGCTGTTTCACACTGACTGTGTAGCCTTGGGAAGGTCTGCCTTGGTTTCCTCATCTATGAAAACAAGAGTAATCATGGTGACATCATCACACTATTACAAGAAGGAAATGATGAGAGAGAAAGGAAAAAACCCGCAGCTTGGGTGGGCAGGCAGTAACTACCAAAAGGCAGGGAGGAAAGAACTGTAGAAAGAGCAGAGCTATAGATGCTGGCAGCTTACATCTATGAGGTCGCAGTGGGGTTTCATTCCCATGGGGACAGCTTACAGCTACAGAGGTCACAGTGGGGTTTCATTCCCATGGGGACAGCTTACAGCTACAGAGGTCACAGTGGGCTTTCGTTCCCATGGGTCGTCTGTGATGCTCTCAGCAAACTCTGAGCAAAGAAGACATAATGCCTGCTTCATCCAGGCCATGAGAAGATATGTTAGATGATGCCTTCTAGGGGTTGGAAAGACAGCTCAGCAGTTAAGGCTGGCTGTTCTCCTAGAAGACCTGGGTTCAATTCCCAGTGCCCACCCAGTGACTCAAAACTATCCATACTCCACTTCTAGGGGGTCAGACACTCTCTTCTGGCCTCCATATGGGTATCAGGCATGGACATGGGTCTTCTGGCCCCTCACACAGAGCTCAGAGAGTGTGGCATGGCCGGCCAGAGATGGGACACAGCAGGAGCCACAGTCACCCTGTGGGTACAGCGAGTCTCTAGAGGCTTGTGAAAAGAGAAAGAAAAAAAAAATGCCTGGCCGGCAGCTGGGAGAGCAGCAAGGAAGCTAAGATAAGGCCCAGGATAGGGCTGCAACTAGGTCGGAGCCAGGTAGGGCAGGCGCGGAGGCTGAGGTCCTGCTCATGACTCACTGGGAAAATGAAGGTGCCTTGGACAGAGGAGCTGGCAGTGCTAAGGGGACAGAGAGAAAGGGTGGGGCACTTTCAGGCAGACTAGAGCTGAGGCCCGATGTGAATACAGCAGCTGAGAGTGCAAGCTTGTTCAGTGTCCTCAGCAGTGAACAGAGGGCCTCTGGTCACAGAGAAAGGCAAGACTTGCCCCACTGTCCACCGAGACCAAGGCAGCAGCATGCAGACAATGCAGCTCCTGGTGGCATCACATGGCCTTGGGCCTGGGATCACTGATATCCCATGGAAGAACACAGGCAGCTGGCCTCAGGCCAAGTCAGCTCTTGTTCTTGCCAGAAATGCAACTGGGCATCCTACCACAAGTGCAAAAGAGGGGGCAGGCACCTCCTCCAGCATATTTCCTTTATTAGTCCACAAATATTGACCAGATCCCTGGTGCCAGAAACTGCATTGCAAGCTGGGAGCCAAGGAGAAAAAGGACAAGTACACACGAAGAATTCAGTGTAATGGGAATTCTTAACTGGGGCACCCGACTGCACTCTAGGGCCAGCGACCACACACAGGTCAGGTTCTAGAAGGTAAGGCTTTCCGGAGAAAAATCCAGAACTCTTGGATTCTCAGAGGGCAGGGAGAAACACAGACCCAGAAGGGGAAGGGCTGGTATCCGCAGCATGGCAAGAGGGCAATGGCTGTCTAGGTGGCTGGGGAGGGGAGGGTCTCCAAAGTATGACCTCACTTGTGCCGGCTAAAGGGTGAATGGCAGGGGGCGGAGGAAGGGCATGGCAGGGAGCAGCTGGTACAGCTGAGTGAGCACAGGTCCCTCCCAGTGCCCAGGGCTTCACCCCACCAGCAGCAGCAGGAAGTAACCAACTGGAAGGTTAGGCAGAGGGCATGGCAAAAACCACAGCCCCCTTCCCCGTCCAGAGAGCCAGACTAGACTAGACCGGTTCATCTTAATTCCCACCTGGGTTCTCCCTGTAGGAAGCCCTGAGGTATACAGGAAGCAAAGGACTGTGCTTCTAGGTGTCTGCCTACATATTAGGTCTTCCCACGTACACATCTGCTTTGCTCATTACTCTATGCTCATCTGAGCTCTCCTTCTGTCATGCAAAACTAACCTTTCCTGCATCTAAAAAATTATCATGTGTGTGTGCCTGTGTGTATTCATGTGTGTGTGCCTGTGTGTATTCATGTGTGTGTGCCTGTGTGTATTCATGTGTGTGTGCCTGTGTGTGTTCATGTGTGTGTGCCTGTGTGTGTTCATGTGTGTGCGTGTGTGTGGTCATGTGTGTGTACCTGCGTTGTGTTCATGTGTGTGTGCCAGTGTGTGTTCATGTGTGTACCTATGTTGTGTTCATGTGTGTGCCTGCAAATATTCACGTGTAGTGCCTGTGTGTGAAGGCCAGAAAACAACCTTGGGTGCTTTCCTCAGAAGCACTGTCCATTTCTCATTGACCTTGGACTCACCAACTAAGCTAGACTGCTGATCAGTGAGTCCCAGGATCCTCCTATTGAGACAGGGTTTCTCTGCGTAGCCCTGGCTGTCCTGCAACTGGCTCTGTAGACCAGGCTGGCCTCAAACTCACAGAGATCCTCCTGCTCTGCCTCCCAAATGTTAGGATTAAAGGCATGGGCCACCATTGCCCAGGTTCAATTTTTTTTTAAACCACGATCACTTTTTACATGGGTCTTGGGGATAAAACTTTGTTCCCTATGCTTGCATGGCAAACACTTTACTGACCCATTTGCCCAGCCTTGTGACAGGGTCTCAAGTATCCTGGGGTGGTCTAGAACTCATTATGTAGCCAAGATTGACCTTGAACTTCTGACCCTCCCGACTGTCTCTACTTCCTGAGTGCTAGGATTTCAGGCCTGCACACCACACCTGGCTTTAAGTCTTACTGGAGAATGAACTGGGGCTTTGTGAAAGCTGGACAAGCACTGTACCAACTAAGTCACATCCCCAACTCAATCTTGCTCACTTCTGGAGAAAGCAGGAGAGAGAAAACCTAAATAGGGAGAAAACAAACAAACAAACAAACAAACCCTAAATAGGTTCCATAAACAAGAAGGCACTAGGTCTAGTGTTTAGGAGTGAGCTCCCCCGAGAGCTGGATGCAAGCGTTCATTTCTGTCCCGTCTTTCCTACTTGTGAGTGATAACCCACGTCATTGAATAATACTGGCATTGCTGAATATGATCAATTCTATCCAATTAGCCACTGCAAACATTTTATAAGGTCAGCATTCCTTTCTGTTTTCGCAGATGAGCAAACCAGAGGCACAGTGTAATTGAGTAACTCATCCAGAGTCACATGGCCTGGAGTTGCCAGGACCCAGGGGAGGGTGGGGGGGGGTGGAGGTAGTGTGGGGGGTGTGGCCCTCAAGCTTGGCTGTTCCTCTCTGAATGCCTGCTCCTTGTTCTGGTCCAATTTCTACCCTGACATGGCACACAGAGCTGGTCTTCTAGAGTCTCAGTCTCTCTCTGTCTCTGCATGAATGTATGGATGTATGGATGGATGGATGGATGGATGGATGGATGGATGGATGGGTGGATGGATGAAAATCCACCATGTCTAGTCTCTCTATTAGACTCTAAAGCACTCTCATGACACATTACAGGATTGAGAGCTCCTCTGATGCCATTCCAGAGAGATATAAGTCATGGCCATTTCTGGGCCAGAAACTCCAACTCTGAACACCAAAAGTAACTAGAACAACTCATGCAGGTGTTCACAAGGAAAACTGGAACTCTGACATCATGCAGCCTGCTCAGTGAAACAGGCATAAGAATGTGAGGGCGCAGCTGAGTCCCACACTACAGAGCCAAGGTTGCCACTGTGGCAACCTTGCTTACAAATGGCTAAAGACTTGATAGGCTGGAGCTGCCCAACACAACTGTGTGTAACACTTTTCCATTTTAATTCTGCTGTTGAGATAGTTTACCAACAAACAAAAGCAATCAGGAAATCCAGCTGCAAGGGACTATCTTGGCTTCCTGACCGTGGCTGGTGCACAGACCCCAAAAAAGCCTAGTCAGTGTCTTAGGAACTTTTACAAGTCAACAGCCCCCCCACCTCTAGCACTGCTGGAGCACAAGGAGAGAGGTTGGGGCCTGCACATTCCACATCCCCTTGTAACCTGGACTATACACAGCAGCAGACTCAGCAGCCACAGTGCAGGCCTGACCTCCTAAATTAGCATGAACACCTCCATTATGCAGGGCTAAATTTTTCAGCTAAGATGTTAACTGATGTTAAACAGTGAGGTCATTTCCCCCACCTTCTCACCTGGCCTCACTCCCCCCTTCTTGGAGGTGAAAAGCTGCCTCCCTGAAGAGCAGAGCTCCTAACTGCCAGGACTTCCTCACCTAGTCTCAGCCTGAGTGCTAGTAAACCAGTCACAAAGCCCCAAGGAGGCTTCCGGTGGCAAGACTTCTGAATTGTGTGACAGCTTCCTGTGGCAACAGAGAAGGTGCCTGGGCCCTCTTCCCCTACTTCATGGTAGACAGCCAGGGTCACCAGGAAGGGTCAGCTGGTCAGTGTGGGGCTGGTGCAGCCACCCAGAATCATTGTTCCTGATGATATAAGCCAATTCCTAAGCCAGACTTGAAGAGCACATGGGGCTTCCCTTCCTCCACAAGCTTCAGCTAGTGGCTGGGTCTCAGAGGCTGAGCCAGGAGGGAGGAGAGGTCCATCTCGCCCATTCTCACCATCCTGGGATCCTATGCAAATAATAAGCAAGGACCTAGAGCCATTCCAGCCCTGCGATGACACCCATGCACCTCTGACACACATCTTAGCCAGCTCTGCTTGTTTCTACCACTTTTGGGCCCTCCCAGACAGTTTCTTGACAGCAGTCAACAGCTTTCACTTGTCAGGCAACAGGGGCAACAACCCCAACAGCATCTAGGACAGAATCAACTGCTGAAGCAGGGGACATAAAAGGACATATGGGGGGATATACAGTAAAGCCACTTGCTTTCTAAACAGGGTGCAGATCAGTTAGCAGAAGGCTTCTAGCAAGGAAGAAGCCCTGGGCTGGATACCAAGCACCACATAAACCAGACATGAGTGGCACACGCCTGTCTCAGAAATAGGCAGAAGCAGGAGCATCAAGAATTAAAGGTTACCTTTAACTACACGAGACTGTCTCAAAACAAAACAAAGCAAACAATACACAAACAAACAAAAAACAGGCTCAGGAGGTAAAAAGAACTTGCCACACAAATCTGATGACCTGAGTTCAATCCCAAGATCCACGAAGGAGAGACCTGACTCTTAAAATAGGTTGACCTCAAACCTCACATGAGCAGTGGCACTCCCCCCACCAGCCAACAGCACAGCTAGGACACTAGGGCTCTTGGCATCCACAGCATGCTCTAGCTTCAGCACCTAGCACAAACTAAAACCCCCAGTTTGATTCCCCATGGACCACTCACAAGCTCCACCAGCCCACACCTGTGTGAGCCTGTGGCAATCCCACTGTTGGACTTCACCAGCCTCAATCAGTGATATCAAGTTCTCCCCACTTGATATCCCTGAAAAGACCAGTATGGCACAGGACACACCAAGATCAAGTTCTCAGCACAAAGGAGATTTTTTTTTTTTGCCCCAGAGGGACAAAGGGCAGAGAATAAGAGACAAGGACAGGAGATAGAGGACGAGGAAGAAGGGGAAGGGAACAAGGGAGAGAGAGAAGGGGTATTTGTCCTGGAGGGACAAAGGACTGCCTCTGGATAGAGAGGAGACGGATGTGGCCCACAGGCAAATGGCAGGTTATAAGTGGAAAAGGGGAAACCCTTTATTAGGATAAGCTGGTTAATTCTGATTGGACATGTTAATTAGGGCAGCCAAAAGGCAGCTTTTGATTGATGAACTTGAATACTTTGATGGTTGGACCTTGGTGGTCAGCCTCAGGAAGAGGAAGTGGCCAGATAAGGGAACAGACCTTGGTGGCAGCTTTAGGAATGCAATCTAACAGTTTAGCAAGGAAGGGGAATGGGGCAGGGCAAACCCTGCCAGTGCCATGTTTGCCATGCTCGGGCCAGCTACAGCTCTTCACTTACACCTGCAGACTTTTAAATAAGCACTGGCCTTGTCCAAAAGGAAAGCCTGCTTTTCCTTAAGAAAAATCTCAGCCCAGCCATCTCCCAAACCCAGGTGCCCAAGTTTTATCACCTGGCAAGGCAGGTAGGAACCAAGGTGAATTTGCTGGCCTTGGAACCAGGGCAGGCAAGAAGACAGCAAGTGTATAATCACCACATGGCGTCAACACCTCAGGGAGCCGGGATGGTGAGAATCAGACAGGATGAGCGCACACCCACCTTGAGCCCAAGTGGGCAAGGCAAGGATCACTAGGGTTACAGGAAAGAATAGTATGATAAGGCTGAACCTATATCCAGGCAGAGGAGACAGGGCAACTCCCAAGGACACAGGTGTAGTGGCAAGGTCCTGCCGGACAGGATGCAGAAGTCAGCCTAAGAGGGCAGACAGACAGGTGGCAACAATGTAAACAATAGTATCTAAAGAGCATTTAACAAGAGTCAGGAAGTTTGAAAAGGCAAAAGTCACTGGGTGAAGCCACTTAATGTGTTAGGAGAGCCGTTGAAGGACAGCCCAGGGAGGTCTTTCCCAGCGTCTGGATGGATGTGGCACAGTGCCATGCACTGCTGGTACATCTGCTCACACTTCACTTGTGGACACACAGGCTCTCTAGCCTCTGTGCATACCTGGGATCTGGTATTATCCTATCCCAACAACCTGGCTCAGGACAGCTAAGGTACCTGATTGTTAACTCACTGCTCACAGCAGACAAAGGCTGGATCAGCCTGTTATTGCTGCTTGCCGACTGCATCGCATTTGTGGAATTCTCAAATGACCCACAGCTTAGAGCTCTTTCTATACAATAGCAAGAGAGTTACAACCTTAGAGCTCTTTCTATACAATAGCAAGAGAGTTACAACCACGGCCCGTTCTTAGACCACTGCAAAGGCCTCAGGAGGAACTAGACCCAGCAGCTGGGAGAATGTGTGATAAACAGCACCTACCAAATTACAAGGTTCCAGGCAAGAACTGGGAACTGGCATGCTCAATGGCCCGCCCGCTCTCAGGACCTAGCTCTAGCACACAGATTAGCTAAGAAGCCTCAGTCAGAGTACATCCCTCCGCAAGACTCTGAACCAGAGAAGGAAGTGGCCCCCTGTCTAAGGGCTACTGAGGTCACCACAGTGGGTTCTGGAAACACAGCAGGCAGGACGGGATGAAAGAGAGAAACCATTCATGTGATGTAATGTCTCCTCCAGGGCTACAGTAGGTTCAAATAAAGTATGCAGCAAGACAAGTGTAGAAACCAGGCTGGACCTCGGGTCTCATCTCTGTCTCCCTCACCATGTCACTTGGAGCAGGGAGGGGAAGAAGGGCCCACTGTGCACTACAGAGACCTAAAGTGCCCCACATTTACTTTCTCAGTATAACTTACAGCAGGAAAGTGACTGGCCCTGCTGATCCACACCACATAGTCCTGGAAACTGGGAGGGTTCCCTGCGGGGGAAGGGCACAGACACCTATCTACTGACAACAAAATGGATATAAGGTTGATTCCTGAGTTGGAAAAGGTGGTCAAGTATCTGTAATCCCAGCACTTGAAAGGTGGAGGCAGGAGGACCAGGAGATCAAGGTCATCCTCAGTGGTATGAGTTGGAGGTTAACCTGGGTCACCAAAAGTACTGGATTACAGACTTGCATAACTAAGTTCTCCTGTTAAACACTTACAGAGCTGGAGAGACGGCTCTCAGGTTAAGAGTACACATTGCTTCCAGAGGACCTGAACTTGTTTCTCAGCACCCTATCAGGTGGCTCACAGGTTACAATTTCAGCTCTGGGGGATTTTATGCCCTTTTTGGTTTGGGGAACAACTACACTCACATGCACATACCACCACAGAGCCATATGGGAATGCACATAACATAACTAAAAAATAAAAACTGAAGCAAAGGCAGGCAGATTAATGTGACTTCAAGTTCCAGGACAGTCTAGTGTACTAGTGAGTTCCAGGCCAGCCAGGGCTACATAGTGACACCGTCCCCCCCCCACCATCTCCTTTAAAGATAAGATCTTACTTTGTAGCCCTAGCTAGCCTGGAACTCACTATGTAGACCAGACTAGTCTTGAACTCACGGAGATCTGCCTGCCTCTGTCTCCTGAGTGCTGGGATTAAAGGCATGTGCCACCACAGTCAGTAAAAAAATAAGTCTTTAAACAAAAATACACAATATTTAGTTTCATTTAAAATCAGCCAGTACTGATTTCTGTTGCTTGGAATGAAATGCTTTGGTTACATAGGGCCATTGACAGCAATGACCTAATGAAGCGTGTGGGGTGAAAAACCATCTTGTTTTCCACACAGATGCAGCAAGGGCAAGATTCTGTATCCAGAGCCAACTTCACAAATGGAGATGCTGTGCTGGGAGTTCACAGTGCAGTGTTGTGTGATCCCAGCATGCTCTCCAAGTTTGACTACCACAAGGACTGGTCGCTGACATAAGCAAACCAAGACCCTTACCCAGACTGCAGGTCATCTTTCCATTCCCTCTGTTTTAACATGGGATCATGTTCAAAACAAGTCCCAACATCAGGCATCCGAGTTTCTGAGCTCGTCTGGAGATTAGGGCCCTGTGGCGAGGGGAGTACACAGCTAACTTATTACGCTTCACCAAGAAACAGTTAGTCTGGCTCTGTTGGGAAGGAAGGCTGTGCTCCAAGAGGATGGGGACATCCAACTAGCTGGCCAGGTCAACCAAATCAACCCTGTGATCAACGGGATGACAGACGCTGAAGAACACTCTCAGAACCCAGAGTTTGAAAAGCAAAATTTACCTCAATTTCCAGACAAGTCAGAGGCTGCCGAGCAACAAAGTGTGCTGAGACTCCTAGGAGACTACAAGCTATTTTAACCTCGGTCTGATCAGCTGCTTCTCAGTGTCACAGTCTGTGACAGGAAGACAGCTGTCTCCTCTTTGGTGTGATCTACAAGTGATAAAATCCTAATTAAAGCCATTTGAACCACAAGTCAGAACTGGCACATTTATTTGTGGGAATACTACTTAAGCGTGGGTCTATAATCCTCACCCAGGCTTCCTTGGGAAGCAGAGCTTTTTTAATGCATGTGCTCAGCTGAAGAGTTGACAAAGCCAGACCACAGAGGACTAGATGTGGCTCTGACAACTGTCTACTGTGGGACCTTGGATGAGTTCCTGAATCTAGAGACCCCCACTCCAACTGCTCAGTTCTTGTCCCTCCTCGGCCTAAGATTCTTCCTCCTCTTCCATGCGTTCCACTCAATTTCCCAAGTATCTTCTAGTCCCTCGGCCAGGTAAAGCTGAGTTATGCAGCCTGGGACAAGGACCCCAGAAGAGGTCATAGGCTAACTGATGAGAAAAAGTAGGGCACATGTACCCATGCTGTCTCAGCTTCTACCTCCAAGTTGCCCTTGCATGTAAGTGCCACCCTCCTTCCAGGATGCTGGTGGCTTCTGTACCCTCCACAGTGCTGGGTAGTGTACTAGACGGTAACTAGTAGCATGTAGGGCTCAGCCTGTCCCTGCTTGAGATAAAGGTTAGCCTCCCTGATCCTCGGGCACAGTGTACAGTGGCACTCAACAGTAAATACGATGACAGCTCCCACCCCCACTGGCAGTGAGCCTTGCAGGAGTGACCTCAGCATACACTCACTTTCACTTCCTATGGAGAACAGACCTGCCTATCACAGCTGTAGGACCCAGAACAGGAAAGCTTGGCCAGATATGAGGAATCCAGCCACTGCCTCATCCTAAGAACACTGAGGGCTGGAGGGGTGATTGAAAGGACAAGTGCACTCTGCTCCAATCCCTAACATTTTCTCTCTAGACAGACGAGCTCTTGTGAGCCCTGGATCAAAACAGCCCTGGAGTGTGGATATTACTCCCAAAGAGGCTTTGTCACGGAAACAACTGTTTTTCTTCTTGGAATTCTTTCAAGAGCACAAGCTGTTACTTCCCTCCAAAGCAAAAGCCAGAGAGGCTAGGGTACCTGGATCAAAGGCAAGGCTCTGATGGAGGAGGAGAGTCCCATATAACACACATCATGCTCTGACCACCAGATCAGGCCCTCTCAGTTAGGAGGCAGTGGAGCTGGAGGACCCATGTGATCTGTGCATGCTGGCGATGTGTGGAGGGCTTAAGCTAGGGGTAACTGCGGGGATATCTGGGGTAAACAGTATGAATGGGGGGTGCTGAGTGAGAAAGTACTTGTGCAGGGAGTTGGGGTACCCGTTGTTGTTGGGGCTGAGGAAGTGTGAGGGACAAGAAGGACTGCAGCAGAGAAGGTACACACTGAAGTGACACTGCTGTATGTCCTGCACCAATTAAAAATGAGTTGGGAGCATGGGGTGTCACCGCTGTTTGTTGTGCGGAAGTATTCTTCAGAAGCCCAAGATGCTTGGAATATCTTTGCTTGGAAATAAAAAATTAAGCCCATGAACTACATTTCGGGTTTTGGAAGGCAGGATCTCACTTAAGCCAGGCTGGCCTCTAATTAGCCATGCAGCTAGGATGACTGAGGACTCCTGATCCTCCTGCCCTTGCTGTGAGAGCTGTGATTACAGACATGCTCCAGCACCGTGTTGCGCAGCACTATGGAAAGGACGCCAGGTAAACCCCTGTTCTCAGTGCCTGTTTAGACAACAACAGCCTGATCCAGATCTCTACAGAGATCAACAGAAAGCTAATGGCCATTTAAAGCACACTGCCCAAGCTGGGCTTGGTGGTACAGGACTGTAATCCCAGCATTTCAGTGGCTAAAGTAAAGGGATTTCAAGTTCAAGACCAGCCTTGGCTATATAGTGAAACACTGTCACAAACTTAAAAACAAAACAAAACAAAAAAAAAAACCAAGCCAACACAAACAAGCAGACAAAACCTGATTGCTAATTAACACTGTACTGAGTTAATTTCATCCACAATGGAAGGTCCTTGATAACCCTGTGAATGAGCTCTTGTGGATTTGACCACAGAAAACCCCAAAACTTGGATTCCTACTTCATACCATATAAAGATATTTAATTCTAGATGTACTGGCCATCTAAAGGTGAAAGGTAAAACAACAATGAAACTTCTAGAACACAATGTAAGAAAACATCATTATAGCCAGGTGGTGGTGGCACACACCTTTAATCCCAGCGCTTGGGAGGCAGCAGTAGGTGGATCTCTGTGAATTTGAGGCCAGCCTGGTCTACAGAGTGAGTTCCAGGACAGCCAGGGCTACACAGAGAAACCCTGTCTTGAAAAACAAAAAGAAAATATCATCATGACCTAGTTATAGATATATTTCCTTTAAGAGACCAAAAGAGGCATTCGGGTAAAAAAGTAATACAAGACTACTTTACAATTAGAACTTTTTCCATAAAAGAATGCAATTGAGGGGCCAGAGAGACAGTTGAGTGGTGGCATGCTTGTCATATAAGCAACCCCAGCTTTCACGTAGACTGGACAGTCACACTTGTGATCCCAGTGCTGAGAAGGTAGGGACAGGGAGATCACCGGGCTAAGTGCACAGCCAGTTAGCCTACTCAGCGAGCTACAGATCCCATAAGAGACCCTGTTCACAAAACAAGGTGGATGGCCCCTGAAGAACACCCAGGGCTGACCTCTGGCTGTGCACAAACAACACATGCAGTTAAAACATGGAGACTTGGGGCCAGAGACCCAGCTCAGGTGGGAGAGCTTGCTTAGCACACAAAACATGGCCATGAGCTTGAACCCTAGCACGGTGTAAACTGGGTCTGTTGGTCCACACCTGTAATCCTAGCACTCAGCAGGTGGAGGCAGGAGGATTGTAAATCAAGGTCATCTTCAGGGACACAATGGACTCAGAGTAGACAACCTGGACTGCAGGAGATTTTATCAAGAAGGAAGAAAAGAGCGGAGAGGAGGAGGAAGAGGAAGCCTTTTTAGTCCAGTGTGGTTGTGTAAGCCTTTGATTCCAGCATTTGGGAGGCAGGCAGGGAGATCTTTAGTGAATTTAAAGCCAGCCTGATCTATATATTGAGTTCCAGGGCTACATTGTAAGACCCTGCCTCAAAGTAAAAAAAAATTAAATAAAAAATTAAAAACCACATATGAACATGAAACAAAGAACTCAAAGAATTCCTAGAAATCAGGGCCCAGAGAAACAGCTCAGTGATTTTGAGTTCTTTCTGCTCTTTCAGAGGACCCGAGTTTGGTTCCCAGTGCCCACCAAAGCTCATAACTGCCTGTAACTCTGGACACCCAACATGTGTGACCTCTGGGGGCACCTGCACTCACATGCCCACACACACCTACACAGAATTAAAAAATAACAAAACTCAATCTTTAAAAAAAATTCCTAGAAATCAGCTGGAGATCGTGCCCAGGGGAGAGCACTTAGCCGTCCAGCATGCCAGGGTGCCAGGGGTGAGTGCTTAGCTGCCCAGCATGCCTGGGATGCCAGGGGAAAGTGCTTAGCTGCTCAACATGCCTGGGATGCCAGAGGTCCTGGGTCCAGGAACATCCTGTCCCTCATTTCTATAGTCAACAGGAAAAAGTGTCAGGTAACCCAATAAAAAAGGGGAGGGGCAAGCCTGGTAGTAGCATATATACCTATGTGCGCCGGGGCAGGGTGGGGAGTGGGGGTGGGCCGATATATCCCCTCAAATTCAAAGCCAGCAAGCTCTACACAGCGAGTGCTAGGCCAGTCCACGGCAGATCTGTCTGGAGAAGGAGGCTGGGAGACTCACCAGGTCCTTCATGTACAAATGTAAAGACACTTCATCCTTTAATCACAAAGGGGTCCCACTTTACTCTCTCCCTCACAGCTACCATGAAAGCGTTAGAGGGAAGTCTTACACTGCTGATGAAGAGTCTGGCAGGAGCTACCCTGTATTCCGTGACCTATAATCACATCCCTTGGTATATAACTAACACACATGTGTACATATGCTTGCCAATGCACTAATGTACAAGACTGGGAGTCTTCCCATCATGTGGGAAGACAAGACAGAGAAATCTTGAGTGGGCCAGCCTGGACTGTATAGCTACATAGAAACAAGCGAGTGGGAATACAGGCATATCCCATAATTACTCCAGCCGGGAGTCCAAAGCAGCAGGGAACAGGCTACACGAGCACAGGGGCCCACACAGGAGGATCAGCCTGACTTCGAGGCCAGCCGGGGCTGTACGGTAAGTTCAAGGTGAGTCTGAATTACCAACAAGACCCATCTCACTCACTGCCCATGCCCCTAAGTGAATAAGTGAACCAAACTCCCAATAGCTCACATATAATGATGGATGAAAAGCCAGATAGAAAAGGACACGTGCGGCTACTACCATCCTAACACTAGGTAAGCTCAGAGCAGGCTACAAGGGCAGTAGGGTCCTACTTCTCCTGAGGACCAGTGGCTCTCACAAGCTGGGGCTAGTAAGGCCCCCACAAAGTGGAATGGGCACTCACTTGTTAGTGGAGCTCTGGCCTGTCTGTTACACAGAACCTCAATGACCTGGACACTACTTTCCCCATATACTCTGAAAAAACTCAGGATCAAGCTCCCCTACCACCATGCCCTGCCAAAATCCATTCCCAGACCTCACTTGACTCTGTGGCACTCAAGTACCCACCCTGTCTGGTCCTCCTGCCTCTCTCTCCACAGTGCCAGGACTAAGGAGTATGCCACCACACTTGATTTTTATGTAAAGCTTCACACTGCATTCCAGACATTGTTAGCACTAGACAAGTACTCTATCAACTGAGCTATAACGCCAGGCTCCCAGGGTCGTCTCTGTCCCCCAGACAAGCCAAGGAAGTGCTCATTCATCATGAGATGCTCCTCTCTTGACCCACACCCACCCCTGCCTCAGAGACACAGGGGTCACTGAAGCCTGGAAGCAGCACTCAGTCTCTCCTACAGTATGGCCAGCTGCCTAAGTCTCTGATAGTACCGCCTTCCCTGCTGACAGTCTATCCAAGCCTCCCACAGAAACCCTTGAGTCAGGGAGGCTATCTGGTTTACAAAGCAAG